AAGTAACTTACCACTGTTCGTTTATTATTACCTTTCTAATCTGTAGCACAACGGTACGTTTATCATCGTAAATAATTAATTTAGTTAATTAAATTATAGTTGTATATATATATATATATATATATATATATATACATAACTGTGATTTCCACAATAATTTACTAGATCTTCAATTCCTATTTTAACTAACTTATCCAACGTCACCTTTTGTTATTTTTTTCTCTACATAAACATTTCTTCGTAATCTACCAACAAGGCTTTGAGACCTATTTCCACAAGAAAATGAGACACAGTGAACAAGAACGATCACAGTAGTTATATACTCCCAGAAAAAGCTCTTGAAACATTAGTTTACATGACATGCAGAAAATACTTGGTCCACTTATAGTCATACAATTTGTATGCAATTAAATATATATTAATATTTTAAGTGATTTTTTCCCCATAAAAAAGCAATATCCTTCACGATATTTTGTAAGAAAATTTAAGTATTTCCTTCTATAGGATAAAAATACACCCATTTATTTCTACTCTGAAGACTACCAATACTTAATTACGTTCGTATTTGTTACCGCATAAACTCTGAGAATTTGTATAAGTTGAAACGTAGCTTTATAGAAAACAAACATATCTCATATTTTTGTATTGTTTGTTCAATCGTACTTTTGTTACTGAAAAAATTGAGGATCTACTTAACATTTTGTGACAGGCTATGATTAATTCAACGTCTGACATTACGAGTTTTGTTGATAACTGGCGACATCTAGTGATATATTTGTAAGATTGTGAGCAAAATGGTCGATTCTGCAATAACACAAATAGTTTACACTAAATTTCACTAGCAATAATGCTTTGGTATTTAGAAACACATCTTAGTGTATGCGACATATTTTACACATTTAGTTTGCCATTTTTATCTTTTGAGTAAACAATGAAAAAATATTTTAAAAATTGCTTTAAAATTGCCAAAAGACGGCGCAGAAGCTCTCAAGTCCGAATAACTTAAAATTGGCCTAATCCTTTACAAAATTAGGTGAAAACTATGCTCAGAATTACGAATACCACTGTACTTATTGGTTAGTTTATTCGCCTACTCACATGGAGAGTAAATTTGAGCCTTGCTCAAGTTAATCTTTTTACTCCAAGAAAACTCAAATACTTCCACTTTATCATCCAATAATAGTTTTGACTATAATTGATTTCAATTTGAAATATAAATTTTTACAAGTTTCTCCTGGCCTAAGCAGTTCAACGATAAATATTTATTCATATAATATTTAGAAGCACTAATTACAAGCATAAGACAGTTATACTCTTCATCCTGATGATCATGAGGTACTTTTGATGGAAGCTTAAACAATCTTTATTCTATATAGTACAGTAAACTAAGAAAACATTTAATCCAGTGTATTTAAAATGCAACTTCTACAATTCAACATGAGATTTTAATCTAAGATGGGAGCTTAAATATCCCAAGTTATATCATAAGATAAACTTTCCTCGAATATAAGTGTAAGATGAATATAATATACTTGTGTATTTTACTTAAAGAATCATTTTAAAGATATAAATGATTTTGAACTTGTAGTTTGCTATCCATACACATGTAGTTTTACATGATTATGTGAAAAATCTAACAATTGTTTTGCACAATGCAACTATGAAAATTCTGTTATAAATGCATGGTTCATGTATATTTTAATGAAATAAATACTATTTCACAGTTTGTTCTGTGCTAAATATAGTTAATTTATGATTTTCTTAAAATAAAACACAAACAAAAAACATTTAGATATCTTAAGGTGTTCTTTATTAATCCAATTTTGATATACACATGACAAAAACTCAAATTAAGGTTTTTAGTAATAATTTACAGTTCTTAATAAGTTACCTCGTTTTGCAAATTAACACATACATACTTCTCTAGCACATTTTTTCTTATGAAGCCTTCCCAATTCTCTACTATAAAACTAGTAAACCATTATTCCCAAAAACAAATATTCATGGTGCCTTCAGTACTTTGTCTTCTTATGAGATTTTGGTCAGATCTGCTTGAATGAAAAAGCTAACAAATGTCATCACATCTGTTATATAAAAAAAAGGCATATTATTAAGCAGCATTTATTTGTGCCTTCTCAAACTGTAACAAATACAAATATTATATCCTTTTTTGAGAATTATGTTTCAGTGATTATATATTACAAACTTCTTTCAACTTTTAGCCCAGAAGACCTAATTACATACATGTAGGTAAAACTAATACCTAAGTTTGCGTAATGCAGTAAGATTTCAGTAATAACACCAGCTACAGGGATTTAGTGAGTTATATCAAAGTACTGTCTACAACTTGAAGTTTTAAACAATCATAATATGTAGGTAAACAAATAGAATTGCTGTATACTACTTCAGTTCTCAATAAACTTCAAGATTTGAGAAAGTTAATCAAACAACAAGTTTTATCACATTAACCCTATAATTACCGTTGGTTTTTAAAGCACATCTTTCTAAACTATTCATGCACCAAACTGCTTGTGGGCCCATGACTGTTGAATACAGAGTCCCTGATAACATTTGAGTCACTCAAAATAAAAATCAATATTACCATTAGTCCCACTAATTATTGCTGGGATTCCCTGTGTATCTTACACAGAAAATAGATGATTTCACCCAGTTATATGGTCAGGTTTTTACAATTAGTGTCATAACAAATTACTGAATATGAGGCACTATGCAGAAAGTAGTAAACAGAATATATATAAAAAAGTCAGTAACTTGAGCCATGATTTAAAAAATATACCACAAATTATTGTAATAACTAAGATTCCACCACATAGCACAACTATAATAAAAATATCTAACAAAAAATACATTAAGTACTATAATCATAAAAGTATTAAATTAAAAATTCAACAAGATCTTTATTTTCTTCTTTTAAAAAGGCTTTACAAAAGTTTGTGTAACATCTACAATTAACCTAAAGACTGTTTCTTGGGTAACATTTCAAGCTCTATGCTTGAAATATCTTGAGCATCGTATAAGAGACTCGTATAGATTGAGAAGAATAGGGTTTGAAATTGACCGTTATTCCTCGTACTTTAAGTGTTCTCAGTACTGATAATTCTTGACATTTAATATTATTAAAAACACTTTGAAATAACAAAATAAATAAGAACTTCTGAGTGAATGTAAAAAATACTGTGTCATAATATGTCAACTGTACTATATCTGTTATATCCAGTGTCGACTACATTATACCAAATGAATTTTTTTTTAATGTCAAAAATCATGCATACTCTGTTGTTGTTTTTTTACTTACCGTTAACTAGTATCCTCAATTTTGAATAATCGCACCAGATCTTCATTAGGTTTTCAGTGGTACTAGGTTCATGCAGGTCCATATTTTCTAAAACAAATTCTCTCACCAAACATCTTGATACGGGAATTCAGGAAATTAACTATGATATAATTATGGTATAAATCTCATTATGTTATAGCACTCCATTGATAAATTTCATAATACATCTTACTACATACGTTTTTCATTCATGAAGAAATCTCAATTAATATTAATTTCTCTTGATATTGAGTAAGGGAGTTGTAGTACTAAAAAAGACCAAAAAAATCATAAATCAAAGGTTGTTTTTGTTTTGTTCATTATTAAGCACAAGTCTACACAATAAGGTACCCATGCTATGCAAACAGTGAGTATTGAAATTCATTTTTTAGTGTTATAAGCTTGCAGACTGACTGCTGAGTCACTGGTGTGGATTATTTTTCTAAGGAAAGAGGTGGAAAATGTTGAGTTTTCTGTGGTACCAAATGTCCAGTGAAGAAAATCTTAGCTATGTGGTGTAAATAACTATTAAAAAAGTTTGAGTATTAAGTAGCACACAAACAGAAGTTTTTTTTGTTAAAGAGGGTATTCACTGATTATAGATGAAAGTTTTAAATACACTGTGTTTTAAATACACGTGTGTAATAAAGCTCATAGCAAAAGTAGACCTGCAATATGTTTGCTAGTAGCAAATTTTGTAGCAGGAACTAAGGAAGAATTTGTTGGAAAACCATTTTAAAGTAACACTGATAATGACAGATCAAATGTTTTGTTTGGTTTGAATTTTGCGCAAAGCTACACGAGGGCTGTCTGTGCTAGCTGTCCCTAATTTAGCAGTGAAAGACTAGAGGGAAGGCAGATAGTCATCACCACCCACTGCCAACTCTTTTACCAACAAATGGTGAGATTGACCACCCCCCATGGCTGAAAGGTTTATATACAAAGCTGCTTTGAGAAGAGCAATAATCAAGTTGGACTTTCAAATACTTTTTCTCAGGTCTGAATGAAAATATAAACTGACTAAATCTGTAAAACACAGATCAGGGCTAACACTATACCAGACCATATCAGCTCTGCAGACTCTGAAAGCTATGAGGATTAAGCGGACATAAACAAAGTGCATAGCATACAAATGAAGCATCCACACAAACTGAATACCTGTCAGTAATACCAATATAAATTAATAGAATCTACTAATGCTGAGAATGCATTGATCCTATCAGCCTTGTACACTACCGGCAAATTGCGTAGGTAAGGTCCAACAAAGGTGCACAAACTGACAAGTTCATACAGTATGACTGTCAAGAAAAAATCTAACTTATTGAGGGAAAACAGAGATCATGTTACATCGACTGACTCATGGACAACAAGTCATGTAGAAGGTGGGAGAGTGTAGTATGGGTGATGTATATTTTATACACATATATAAAGGACACTCAGAAATTTTGAGTCATATGTTTCTTGAAAGCATAAGCTCAACTCAACAAGGAAATGCTATCAGTATTTCAGAGGTAAGTCTCCCTGATTTGAACTATTCTCATACAAAAACCCACCTACCTTCAGAATAATCCTACTCACCCTCCACAGTACAATCTACAGTAACTCAATGTCCTCCCTGAGGTACAGGGCCTAGTCAGTTACTTATAAAATGTAAATGGCCTAAACGTAAAAATTGCTTGGAAAATTTACTAGTTTCAATTAAAATATCAAGATGATTATAAGCAATAAAAAGCATTAAACTTTCGTTTAAATTAAAGATACTTATGGAATAAATAATTCTGAGATATAAAGTTAAAAATATTATGCTAAAAGGGACTTTGAGAGATTTCATACACAAAACTTCAACTCAAATTTTAAAAGGTATTATGCATGTCAGAGCAAAAAAAAAAAGAGTTAATTGTAAATCATCCATTGATTATTATTACAGGCAATGTTATTGAGAAAGAAAAGACAAAATCAGATTCCTTATCTTGGAAATCATTTAACATTAATGTTTACCGAGTGTTAGGCACAAAACTACAAAATGTGCTATTTAATGTTCTGGCCATAGCAGGTATTAAAATCTGATTTTTAGTGTGTAAGTCCACAGAATTACTACTGAGCCACTGTAGGGATTTAATGGTAATGAACAGCAAAATTTTGATTTCATTAAAGCAGAAGAAAATGCTGTTTTAAATTATTTTTTTTTAAATCAAGTCTGTAGAAATTGTGGTCCAGTTGAAATATACTATTCAAAATTTAAGTGAAGCAAGAATTTTGGGGGTTTCAGGGATCATGCTGACCTCTTAAAAGCTATGTATACAAAGAATACATAAGCATCAGAAAGTCTGAATGAACAAACCAAACTCAGAAACCTTTATGACTTACCTAATTATACATTTAGACATAGAATTGTCTAATCTTAGAGACCTATGCCATTACATTTTTTTTTTGCATGCCTCTATCTGTACCTTGAAATTTTGCACATGCAGCCACTGTTAATGTGTTTATGTCTGCCAGTGATGGCTCCTTCATCACTATTATCATCTGATCAACGTATTCATATATCCACCTGTAAGCCAAGCCTTGTCTGCAAGTTTTACGGGCCATGATGCATACAGACATAAGGTCTCATACTTTATGACTTAGGGAATGCTAAGAAAGTGGTAGCCAAGGTAGCAAGATCAGGATTAAAACAAGGTCATGCCAAGCAACACTCTTACTACTGCAGCCAATCAGCCTAAAGTGAAAGTTATAGCAGTAACATAGCATCACCCAATTTAGGATTCTTGGATGTGTTGCTGAGCCAAATCCAATACTTAATGGGTTTAGCTGAATGATTTTATACATGTGTGTTTAGAAATGCACCTTGGGAGGCAAAAGATCCATTTCAGAGTTGAAAATACATCATAGTTCATGTTTTCTGCAAATGACTCAATCCATTGAAGATTAAAGTAGTTTCTGAGAGATATTTGGTAGTTGAAGAGTTACTGGCAATTAGGATATTACTAATATGTTTCTTATTTACAAAAAAATAAAAAAAACATAAAGAAATCTGGAACTGGAAATCAGTTTGACTTCTCATTGATGAAGTGTTATAATTTAATATTACAGCTCATTTGGAGAATCATTTCTAAAAAAGGATCCTGATAAACAGTGTTCATTATGGATTCAAAGAGAAAATTACTGTTCTAATTAACTTGGAGTTTTTTGACAAAAACTCCTGATCTTTAGAGAGCATTCTTGTGAAAGAAACCAGCCTACTTGACAAGGTTGATGGAAAATCAAGCTACCCTAAATGATCACAAAATAAACAGAAGCAATCTGATTTCAACTTTTAGTATTGTTAAAGAATGGATAAGGAGAACTTTTTTTTTATTTATAGAAGGATAAGGTTACTAATGGTGGCTTGAATAACCGTAAGCATTTGAAACCTACATGCAGAGGTAGACTAGTTCTGAGGTAAAATGTTTTCTTCCAGAATTGTTTGTTTGTATAATACTTAGATACTTAGCGAGATGGTGCAGTGTATGCCAAGTGTGTGAATTATTTCCAAGTTTTGATAGGCAGGTAAATGTATGTGGAGAGAGAAAATTATATTACATTAGATATGGTCTTAGCATCTATTTTTATAGATCTGGAAAGATAATAATGATACTCAGTTTTTAACATGAATATTCTTTCCAAATTACACACATTTGTCAAAAATACAATTTACACATTGACAAAAACTAGTTGCATATTTGTCAAATGTCCCAAAAATACCTAATATGTAGATTTTATAAATTCAACTTAGAATATTTCTAAATTGGAATTACTATATATCCATTTTTTTAATATTGAGATGAGTCTGATAAATGGTCATAATATGAAGATAAGAAAAACCCTGTGCAATACACAATTTTCTGAAGTAAATGATGAAAAGGATACTCATTTTCAAAGGCTTTTTCTAGTTCTTTTAACCATTGCAACATCTGTGATATAGATGGCCACACTTCCGTCTTCTGAGTTTCAGCAACACTAGATAAATCTAGCTTATATTTTTCAAATATTTTAAAACTGTTATCACATTGACTGGATACTGATGAATAAATATTTTGGAGAGTTTTCCTAAAAAATACAAAAACAACAGTTTAGTGTTATTCTAAGTTAAAGTAGAAAATAATAACAAAAAATACCTTACTAAAAGATGTTTATTTTTAGCTAATGCATTAAAATGTTATTAATAATTATCATTATGAAAATTACTTCCTACTACCAATTACAGGAGTTTCTGCTCACTAATGAAATGTTTCAAAACTTAATCCAACAAACACATGAAATGAGACACCCACAAGTGAGTCAGATGAAGCCTATATAATACTAAACCTAAGTCTCAAATTTGAATATTTTGTATGCTTAACATTAAGATCTTAAATATGAAACAAATATGTATAGAAAAAACAAGTGATAACTTATATCCTAAACAATGTTTCAAGAAAGTGGCAATTAGCAGTATGAAAGTATAGAGTTGAGATTGGAAATTTGTGTCACAAATAGTACAGGGTGGGTAAATATACATTTTAGAAATTCAATAAAGATTTTTTAAGTATAATAACTTGCTTTTTAAGATAACTTGCTTAATTACAGCATGGATTCTGATGGACAATTTAATGAATAACAAGCTTCATTTTAATACTGATCAAATGGGAAACAAAAGGTTCAGGAAAAAGAGGGGGTCTTTATATTGTCTAATGATTTTCCAGCACCCATTTCATTTTTTTTAAACCAAACAAAACACTCTATGTATAGATTTAATACAGGAATCCCAATCAAAGTGGTGAACTGTATTGTGATGGATCTACTCCAGACAGAACTGCACAGAAGCTGGGTACAACATCAACCTCCAGGACCATCGCATGGTGGTGATGAGCATGATTGGAGGATCAAATGCCATCTATAACTCTCTCTACTGAATGGAAGTGATCACATTCAGGAAGTCACTTCCATAGTCCACCACCCCAGTGGCTTTGAACTGAAAAGTGGCAAGGACTATCATACTCCATAGCAGAATAGGTGGGGGACACGGTGAAGAGAGTCCAAAGGATGGCTGACACCAGACACAGTGCAATGAGTGACCACAAGATCCCTGAATTATTCAATGTAAGGGACAGCAGGGATAGGCAGCTATCTCCTTCTGCTTTACCCATGAAAGTCCATGGGTTAGTACAGTCCAGAACGGGCACATATATGAAGCAAATATATCATGAGGAAAACCTACTAGTGATCTTGTGGAACATCCCATCTCAAACAGTGTGCATTACTGGCCATGGATATACATCAAGATTGTTGGGAGCAGCCATCCCCTGAAGACAACCTCAGTGGGACATCCTATACAACCCTCATCAAGCTACCCCACACAACATCAACATACTAGGGCCCAACCCCATTGAAGCAGAGCATCAGGAGTAGCCAGGAGAATAGCCCAGTGACCTACTAGTAGTTAGATAATAGACAGACTGACATACAGATTTTTGTTCTTTATATATATATATATATATATATATATATATATATACACATATCATAGATGCTGAAACAAAAATAACCACTCTGGGTAAGTTCAGTTAAACAATGGTCATGATTCAAAGCGTCCTTTTTCACTTATACTCAGCTTTTGTGTAAAGTATAAAACAATCAAAACTTAGCATGCAACTTTAAGCCAAAGAATAATGAAAAAGGTAGGGTTGTTTTCCATCTAAGTATCACTCAATAATAAAGTTCCAACTAAATAATGCCTTCACCCTTTGTCTATTCTGGGTGTAAATTGTTTTGTAAAATAATAATAAAAAAGTGTAATATTCACTTTTCACCTTTTGTTCATTAATGTATACATTACTTATATATATACTAGCTGGAATACTCAACCCTTGGATGTAAGTTACATAAATTCATGATTAACGAAAGGTTACCTTAGGACCTGAAAAGTTGCTTCCCTCGTATGTAATTGTAAAAAATACCCATAAAAACTGCAAAACACAAAACTAAAACTTTGTACGTATCCCCACATGGGCCTAATGAACCTCGATATCAATTCTGGTGGACATTCATCCACATCCTGCAAAGTGGTTACATGATCAGGCAACATAGAGTATCATTATATTTATACAGATGCACTGTAAATATAGCAGGGATCGAAATATTACATTCCCAAGGAATTTAACTTTGCTTGAGGAATTTCATCTCTTTAGTTGGCTTTCTCAATCAGGAATGCTTGGTCCATCTGTATTCCTTTAGTTATGATCAATGAAAATAAAAATATTGCATGGATTAAATAAAAAAAAACAATTCATGAGAAAATACACCTTTACACGAGGGAATGTAATCTTCCTGATAGCCTTCCCTCAAGTGAATGTAATTTTGTTCCATTATTTATATCCCTGTACAGTCTAGGAATATGGGAGCAAGACTACATAACACACAGGTAAATTTAGCTGTAAACAATATGTATGTTATTAAACTACTGAAGAATGAAAAGATCCAAAGATTATGCTAATTAAAGTGGATTCTATAATCATGTATAATGAATGATTTGTATGTAGAGGGACACAAGAAAAATCTAGTCTAAACTTTGGTTATCCAGTGTTAAAGTTCAGAAAATGAGGTTGAGGAAGATGTTCTTTTTTGTAGAATATATTGGTGCCAATGAAGCAACAGTTTATAATGAGACTTTTGAGAAGCTGCATATATAATCAGGTACATAACTACAAACAGTTACATTCAGTTCTTTGGCAAGTTACGTACATTCTTATATCAGCCATCCTCTGCCTTAAATTTCAGTAAATTACAGCATGACAATTGTGAAATATGTAGAGTTACTTTAAGTTCCAGGGTATTATCATAAAGACAAAATTTTGTTCAAACTTAAAATTCTGAGTGCTGCATCATTATACATAAAAAGATAAAGTATCTTATGCATGCTATCTCTGATGAAAATGTAACATTCACTAAGACAAGTGTGTTATGACTCACTACTAGATAAATGCAAAGCATAAGTAAATAACCGAATATTCACTGGGGATTCAAATAAAATAAGATTTGGTTCAATGATAGTTCCACCTCTAGATTTTTCAAAAGATTTGGAGTCTGTACAACAAAACAGTTTAAACATTCTGATACAATGGCCTGAAGTTCTTCCACATCCATAGAAACAAGTAGATAAAAAAAAATCCAAGTTAGAAGTAACCCATCACATCCATGTACCTAAAATAATAAAAGTTTAAGATAATTCAAACAACATCTTATATATATATTGTAAAACATGGCATCTGTCCAAGCATTTGTTTTGTATCTCCCATTTATGGTGACCATGCAGGCAAAACTCACAATTCACTTTTGAAATGACAAGAGAACGGACATGAATAATGTCGATGCCAAATATTATTTAACAAGCAGGATATTCTACATTAAATTATTAGGAATTAATCACACTATCATTCACACTTCAAAATATCACATAAATTAAAGAATAAGAATGCAAATTTACCTTATGTTTTTGTCAAGCAGCTCTTAGCATGACTGAAATGACTTTTTACTCAAATTACATTTAGAATTTATATACTATTGGTTTTATTTAGTATGTTAAATGAATATTAAGGTAATATTACAAAAACATTTTAAATGTTATAACATCTATCATACAAATCGTTCAAATAACATAAAGGAAATTCAGCTGGTAAAAAGTAAGCTGAAAGCTTATAAAAGAAGTGATTCTGTTTGGTAAAAATGTGGACTGGTTGAGGTTACTGAAGTAAATGGGAAAAAAATACTGTTACTGGCTTTTTGTGTAGGTTTCTTGAGATTGATAGGAATTTTCTTCATCCACTAATTAAGAAACCAACTAGAGCAGATGCTATAGTGGATTTCGTGTCAACATCCAAAAAAAAACATAGTTATTGATGTTGTAAGGGAACATTTGGATACGAATAGCCACAACATCATTATATCTTGTTGAATATCAACACCAAGAAAAACAGAGTTTAATACGCCAGTGAAATCTACTATACAAGGATGAAAAGCTGTCCATCTCTCATGCCAATATCTCAGCCCTTGCAATACCAAGTTTGTCTTTTTTAAATTTTTACACCTGTATATATATTGGAGGATGTACTACTTTGAGCATATAATTAGACTTGAGAATCAGTTTTCCACATGTTTCAATCTACAATGATTTATTAAGGGTGCAATTAATTAAATCCAGCCAAACTGGATCTTTGTTACAAGTGGAGTACCACAGAGATCAGTACTTGTTCCTTTGCTTTTTTATATTTACATTAAGGATACTGGTAGGGGCAAAATCAATAAATTAGTAAAGTTTGCTGATGACATTAAACTCTTGAGTAAGTTTAGCTGTATTGAGAATGTTGAAGTATTACAGAATGATGTGGATCACTTAGTAAGCTAGACAAATATTTGGCCAATGACCTATAATTACAGTGAGTGTAATTGTAATGCATTTGAGTTATCATAATTTGGGTCTCATGTTTAATATAGATTGGAATCAATTCAATAGCATGATTGAAGAAAAGGATTTAGACAAATCACTAGTTACACCTCATTTGAAATACTGTATACAGTTTTGGTCTCCATATACAAGAAAGGATATTGACTCATAGGAAAGTAACAATTCAGAGGAGAGCTACTGGGATGAGTCTGGGGATAGAAGCATTCTTTTAGTTTCACACAAACAAGGATGATCTTACTAAACTTTACAAAATATGTCTAGGAGATTAATATTATAAAAGCCTTTGATTCCTTTATATTTTCTTAAGACAAGAGGTCACAATTTTAAGATTTGGATAAAACAGGCTACAGTCCAATTAAAACCGTATAATTTTCTGATAGAGCAATCAGCTTTGGAATAAGCTACTGTTAACAGATGTGATGTTTGGAACTTTACAAGATTTTAGGAGAGAATCAATTATTTCCTGAAAAGGTGAATTTAAATTTTTACTTTTCTCTAAGGTGTGTATGTGTATTGACAGCCTTGAAGGACCAAAGGTCCCTTGAAGTTTATATGACATTTCTCACACAATTTTATTGTATACGGTCTGGAGTACAGCAGTGGTTAAAGGCTTGGTGAACCAATATAATTATCTTCCTTTTCTTGACAGAAATAATTAATACTACAATTGCCTTTTTTTTTGTCCAAAGGTTTGGCTTGCAAAGCAGGTGGTAATAATTAGCAGATTTAAAAAGAAAATTGATGTGTTCTTTTTAGCTGAAGACTACATATAGGGTTTCCTATCTTCAAGTTTCAAGACCCAAGTAGAGATTTTGTGTTTTCAGTTTGAATTTCCGATGTCAAAATGCGACAAATAATTTTAAAAATATATGCTTAAAATATTTAAAATACTGTTTTAGAAATTACCATTGCTGCTTTTTTTTTAAACAAATCTGCTTTCAAAATAGGAAAGTGCTTGGAATTGTATATCTATATGTGAATAATGCTTGTTGTTTAGGTGTTATAACTGGTTACTCTTTTCCAATAAATAAATTTAAATTTGTAGTCATTGTTGTAACCTTCTGGCCTAGCTGTATTTCTACTGTGTTAGTATCCTGCATGATCTGTAACCCACCAAGTGATTGTGCTTTATACACCTTAAATGACATGCAACCTGCCAAGTGTCAGTGCTTTGTGCACACAGTATAATGTGTAATCTGACACGTGATATTCCCAAGACTGTAGGTAAACATGGATGAATTCATAACAGCATCCAGTTTCATTTAGAACTGGGGAGAACAATTCAAGTAAATTAGTGATGAAAAAAACACACTTTCCAATAGAAAACATTTGATTATTAAGATAAATGACAGCAGTTTTCATGATTACTGGTTGTTTGAAATAAATTGTATCCTTAGATGAATAAATAAATGGCATTATGATTTTATACAAATGTTTTTGTTATGAACTATACCTCAAAAAATTATAACAATTAAAATTTTGTATTTTATAGAAAACCAAAATCAATTTATATCCTGCATATGAATGATATGACACTTAAAAAACACCTCTCTCATCACTTGCTATATTCAAAAGTTGGCCCCAGATGGAACCAAGAAATCCTCAAAAATAGACTTGAGTGGAAAAAATAATGCAACTTTGAAATTATCTCACAAACCAGCACATGTGTGAAGAAGTTAATAGTTTGGTATAAGAGTAAATGTCCTCAACAGTTTTTTTTTTCAAACCCATGTCCTCTCATGCATATAGCATACAAGGTTTTGAGCAACTACTACAAGGCATTAGCATTATTACATTTCTGTCAGTACCATAAATGTATAATAAACTAAAAAGGCATCAACACAGTGAAACAAAAAAAGGGCATTGTTCAATGGATTTGACATAGTATTTTTTTTTTAACATCCAATTATGTGATATTGGTCACTATGTTCTAAATAGGTAAACACTTGTAAGTGAAATATCACAGCTTGATAACAAGTAACATAACCATTACTCACAAAAGAGATGATAATAAATCCTTTTCTTCTTCAATATCTCTTTCAATTTTAAACAAAAGCTTTTCTCTTATGTCAGGGAAATGTTTAATAAGGTTGGCCCTTCCTAAATTTGCATTTTGACAAGACTGAGCATTGTCAATCAAATTAGACAGTATCTTTACATGAACATCGAGTTCAGCTTCCTTAAAACTATTTTCCCAAAGCTTCCACTGATGGTCAATCTCTATAAATGATTTCTGAAATTGTGATAAAATCTTTTCTCTTGCTTCACAAATAGTACTACTATTAGTTCTAGTACTAGTTGTACTAAGTTTCGTACTTACAGTAACAGCAGTATAATTATCAAAACTAATACTACTGTTACTCATGTCTTCTATTTTTCACTTGTTTATTAAACCATTGGTCTCACTACAAAGTACTAGTAAAAACTTGGTAACGAGGTAACTCAGAAAAGCAGAACTCTTGAGTAGTTTAATAATTACTGTATTAATCTAAAAAAACTAAGTAATACTAATACCCTGCACCCATCTGCTTTTTCCCAAACATCGTGATAATTACACGCCCTCTTACGGTGTACACTCATTGGCGAGCCAAGACTTTGAATTTGGACGTTTTTAATGATATTTATTTGACGAGGATAATATTATTTTTTCATTTAATTATCTGTACAGAAATACATTCAAAAGACTATTAAGTGTGTATATATATTCTTAATTAAATAGATAATATTAGCAAGTTACAATTAACGTTTATTTCCAAAGAGTTGCCAAAACTAATTTACATTGAATTTGGCGACATGCCGAAATAGTAAACGCAAATCCTGCAGTTTAACGTGGACAATATTGAGCGTACTACGTATGATAAACTGACGCCTCGATTATTTGTTTGTGTTTTTGGACCACGACCTAGATTCAGACCTGCCGACAGGGGGGGAGGACAACTGCCCAGGGGCCCGGGCGATGAAACCTGGTTATGCCGTAAAGCATGTTTTTACGCTTATACTTATTCTTCTTTTTAGATCTGCTGTTTCACAAGCATACAGAAATGGCATGGATATGACAAGAAAGTGCAACAGCCTAATTTTGGAACTAAGAATGATGTTGTTGTTGTTCCAAATTGGTTTCAACATTGCCAGCACTGTTATCATCTGCTCAACCTTGGTAAGTATCTCAAGTTTGGAACCCTCATCTGTGACAATTAGTCCCAGAGATTTGAATATTTTATTGTTTCAAGTCTTTGTCCACGTACATTGATCTCAATGCTGATGCTGTTGTTGGTCATCAGTTTAGTCTTCTCGGCACTAATCTACATGCTGTAAGCTGTAAATGTTTTGTTGAGGCATTCCACCAAGCTGGCTAGTTCTTTCTCTTCTCCTGCCTAGCTGTCAATGTCATCTGCAAAGGGAAGGTTGGTGATTGGCCTGCCTCCAATACAGACAGTAGCTGCATGATCTTCCCAAGCATCAATCATAATACTTTCTATAAAGATGTTAAAGAAAGTGGGTGAGAGTAGGCATCCTTGTCGAACTCCAACCATTGTTTGAAACCCGTCCCTTAAGCTGACATTTATGAGGACTACACTCATGGCCTTATCATAAAGGTTTTCAATTACTCAACAAACAATTGGCACTGATGTTGTACTTCCTCATGGTTGCCCATAACACTGCATGCCATACCCTGTCAAAGGCCTTCTTGAAGTCTATGAAGACATAATAAAGGTCTTGTTGATGTTGTAGATGTTTCTCACAAAGGATCCTGAGATTGAAGATCTGTTCTTCAGCAATTATATTTTCCACTTGGAGGAGTCTGTGTAATATGACCTTTAACATGACTTAACTCGGGTGACTGATGAGACTGACTGTTTGATAGGTTTGGCACAGCTGTAGGTTGCCTTTAATGGGAAGTATGATGTCCCTAGACTGAGTCCAAGGGGTGGGCCATGCTCCTGTCTGCCAGATCTTATTGCAGATTGTTGTGAGGGTGGTGATCATAGTTTCTCCCCCAGCCTGAACCAGTTTTGCTGATATGTTGTCAACTCCATGACTTCCCTTTCTTCAGTGATTTCACTGCATTTTCTACTTCTTCCCAAAGTATAGAATAGTTGTCCTCTTCATTTGTCTGAGGGCAGTGTAGTACCGTTGGGTCTCCATTGGTCTTGTGGTTGTATAGTTCTGAGCAGTACTCTGTCCACCAACGGAGGATCTCTTGTTCTTCTATGAGGTATTTTCCTGGTTTGTCTTGGATGGTAGTGGCTTGCCTTTGTTTTATGGTTGTTTGGTACACTTTTTTACTGTTGTTGTTATTCAACTTTTCTTCAATTTCATTGCATTGTTCTTTTAACCAGTTCTCCTTGGCCTTATTCATGCCTTGTTTAATTTTGTTGTTGACTTCTCTGTATTTTTGCACTCCTTCAGGATTGCCTTTTTTCTTTTTCAGTTCTCTTCTTTTGTCACATTCGTTCAAAATATCTGGTGTGACCCAAGGTTTTTTAGTCTAATGGTGCTTGCCAAGGGTTTTGTTGGCTGCGTCAATCACTGTTGTGTTGAAGGTGGTGATCATTGAATCTAGGTCTGTGTTTTTGTCACCCAGGATGGTAAGAGGTGCAAACTTTTCACCAATCATTGCTTGGAAGGCTTCTGACACATTAGGGTCCTTCAGTTTCTCAAACTCAAACTTGATTCTTGTGTGCTTTAGTCTGCTGATTTTCTTCAGACAGAGATGAAAGTCATCACCAACAAGTCATGATCACTTCCAATGTCTGGAAAACTTTATGTTCTGCCAATGTTGATTCCTGTTTAAAATCACTTTTTATCCATGATGTAGTCAATTTGGTTGTGATGTTGTCCATCTGGACTGTGCAAGGTCCATCTTCTGGATGATTGGTGAGGATCAAAAGTATTAGCAAAGATTGTTATGTGTGGCAAACTCCAGGAGCCTGAGTCCTCTTTCATTTGATTCAGTATTGCAGAACCATATGCAGATGCCTTGCCAGTTTGTCTGTGCATCCTCACAAACTTTTGTATTCTAATGTCTTTGTATGACAAAGATGTCACTTTGGTGTTATCGATCTATTAGGTCCTGCAGTTGGTTGTAAAAGTCTTCAATCTCATTGTCATTGTAGTCAGACGTTGGGGCATACACTTGTATTTCTGTGATGTTGAATGGAGTTGCCCTTAGGCAGATGGTGATGAGCCTGCTGGAGACAAGGTGGCAAACTTTTACAGTGTTCGTGATGTTTTTGTGTACTAGGAATCCAAAGCCGTGTTCATGTTTGTCCTTTTTGCTACTGAAGCAGACCTTGTGACCTTCCTCGCTTGATGTTTCCCCAAAGTGTTTCCAACACATCTCACAACATCCAAGAAGGTTCCAGCAGTACCTCCATCTCATTTGTATACTTTTTCAATTTCTCTGTGGCGCTCATTGTACTTACGTTCCATGTACCAATGGTGATGTTGTTTCTTCTATGGAACTTGTTGGTAGGAGCACCAGTAACATACTTGCCACCTCTACCATAGTGTGAGGCAGAAGGCACAGTCGTTAGTAACCCAGGCTGTGAATGATCTGGTATTGGTTGTCATCATGTGGTTTCTTAGGCTGTTGTAACTATCTCCTCTCCTAGTCAGTTGACAACAGCCGAAATCCACCATACAGTGTGGCATGCCCTGGTCCCAAATATGTGGCCATTGACTTCATCGAGAAAAACGTCCACCCAGTAATGTCATGTTACCATCATACCATTTCAGTATTTTATAATCTATATGTCAGCAAATACACCATTATACATTATGAAAAATAGTGCCACTAGTAGAAAGGTTACTTGCTCCTCCTCTTCTATTGGTTCTGATTGGATTGCCGGTTCTGGTATTTGTGTTAGGATAATAATAATAATGTTACGTCTCCGTTTGTTAATTAACTCTCCGTAACTTCGTTCCGACGAAACTTTAGCGACACAAGTCCTTACTTAATAAAACTGGTTTATTCTTTCTAAATATAACTTTACGATACACTTGATTCCAACATTCGCGCTAAAACAAACGCTATAACGAACTTCAACAATACGTCTATGACTGCAAATCAATTACTCACTACCTACACACACATTGTTCCGTCACGTTGTCACCCTCTTATATATATACCAGACTACCCTATACCTAGTAATCTCCCGACAATTCACGAAGGTAGAAGATATTTCCAGAAAGCAGGGGGCGTGACACTAGTCACGTGACCTCGCTGACGCAACACTGCCCCCTCCTTAATATTGTTCGTCCCGAACAATAACCACATACAATAAACCAATAACAATTAACAATAACTTAATTAAATGTACAGAATTACAATCACAAAATTACAATTCAACAAAGTCTCTTAATTTTACGGGACTTATCTTCTTCCGTACTGGTCTCCGTCTCGTTGGCTTCTGCTTCATGTGGGGTTCATCCGCTTCATCAGTAAATGTCCTATCATCGGTAACAGTCACATCAGTGGTAGTAATTTCGTCAAGAGCTTCACTGTTTCCCTTCTCAAAACTGAGTAG